CCCAGGCCCAGGCCCAGGGCTGGGCCTGCCCCGCGGGGCACCCGGGGCCCAGCAGGCCGCAGCGTCAGGCCCCTTCAGCCCCACAGCCTTACCCCCCCGGCACTCGCAGCGCCTGGGGAGCAGCTTCAGCTGGGGGCCCACCGGCCACCCTTCCCTGCACCCTAACCCTGGCCGGACGCGGGCTTGGGCAGGGCTGCAGCGGTCCCGGTGTTTCAGAGCGTAACTGGGTGCCACCTGGCCATGGCCCTTCTCCCGTCGTGTCCACCTGGATGCCTGCGGCTTCTGTGCTAAACTGAGTGGCTTGGTTCAAACCACCGCTGGTGTGAAGCCAGTGGCAACACGGCACCCTGCACTTTGACTAAAATGCAACAAAATGGGGGGCCGTGGGCTTGCCTGGACGCAACTGGACACAGAATGGTTGGAAGATGGAGAGCTCAGCTGTGAGAAAGGCTTACTGGGGAAAAAAAAAAAAAAAGATATTTCAGGGATTCTGGGTATCAGGATAAGAGGTTTTCCACCCAAACAGAGTTGGCAAAGATCTCAAGAAGATTATCCACTCCAGTGTCCCCTGAGAGCATTCTGAAACTGAAAGCTTTGCGAGCTTGACTTCCTTGGAAAAACAGAAAATGTACAGGATATGTCATGCAAAGTTGCCAGAACCAGCTAAAAATAGCCTGCACTTCTAATATTATTGCTTCCTCTTGCTTGCATGAATGGGAGTATCTATGAATTTCCCTTCCTTCTGGCAAAAATGTTTCACCTTCCAGGCATATGTGTTTTTTTCCTCCCTAACAGTGTCATTCCCCGTAATGCGTATCTGAGTCGGTCAGCATCAAATTAGTGGCTGTGAGCCACCCCTGTGGTTACTCTGAGGGCAGGGAAGGAGCGTGTGTGTGAGGGAAGCTGGGACAAAACACCTTACTCAGTATTTACACAGCAAAGCAACTCCTGCCGCATCCACTGCCTCAGTGGATGAAGCAGGAATATTTACATTTCTGCAAGTTACAGGAAGACGGGGAATGGCCATCTCTTCCTGGACATGCTTGTTTTCTCAAGGCACCCGTTCGCGCCTCTCCTTTTTAGGATATATTTGCAGCTAACCTGCAAACTTGACTTGCCATGCAAATTGTCTGCATTGTTCTGTCTGTATCCCAGCGTGGAAGTCACTGTGAAATCCCACAGCTCTACCAGCAATGTGCAGCCTGGCCCTTTGGATCCCTAAATCTGAAGAAATCTGGAGGCATGTACTGGGGGCTCTGCTGGGAACTTGGGGCTCTTGCTAGAATACAAGTCCTTTGGGTTCTTATGTTGGTTTTGTTCCCCAAGTGCATTGCAGGGTGTTGAGGGCTCCACTGGGTGCAGTCCCAGGAGTCATCTTCAGCTCCTGCATCACTAAATCTCTCTCTCCTGATGGTCTCTCTTCCCCAGTATTGCTGATTGTCAGATAAAACCCTGAATAAGTGGAGCTACTTAGAATTAAGCATGTCTGGGGATGCCCGGGAAGCTGGCAATTCCCATGCAGCCTTATCCCTCCTTTTCTCAAGGGAAGTTTCTCCCAGGCTCAATGTTTGCCCTGGATAATTTCTCGCCATTTGAAACTACCTCCGTTTCTTGGGGTGCAGTTGCAGACTGCCATTGCAGAAGCAGTGCTGGTTGCCTGCATGCTGCAGCGCACACCGAGATTTCCTCTGTGTGCATCAAACAGACCAGGCCAATGGCAGGTGTGTTGGGCAAGCCAAAAAAATGTGTGTTTGAATTGCCACGGGCTTTGTCTTGTTATGAAAGTGGCTTCTGTGCTGCTTTGATCTGCTTTTGCGCAGCAGGGAATGCTCTGAAGAACCCAGCCTCTGGCTGCTGCTGCGCCCAGGGTGTCACTGCCTTGACAGGGCGGGGTGGCAGATTTAAAGTGCTTTGGTTTTGTCATCATCTCTCCCAGGAGGAACTGATGGTGCTGGCTCTTCCTCTCAAGGCACAGCAATGCCCTCGGCCAACACAGCCCTGTAGCCAGACAGCCTCTGCTCCTGCCCTGCACTAAGATGGGGAGGAAGGTGGTTCCTTGCCAGCATTTGGGCAGAGAAGTGGCTTTTTGTTGGGGCAGGAGAACTGGTTCCTTCAGCTGTTCTGCTCCTCCCTGCCATGACTGTCAGCATGGTGTCTTCAGTTTCCCCCCCTTCTCTTTCCTGCTTTCCTTCAGGATCAGATCCCCTTCACATTTTCCATCTGTGTTTTCTCTGCCAGTATTTGCTGCCTGGCAGCTAGCTCCAGCATGCAGACTGGGTCTGCTCTTGCTTCAAGATCATGAGGATTTTGCCAGCTGCTACAAGTCCTCCGAGATCCTCATTTAAAAGAAGTTTTGAAGCTGTTAGCATGGTCCATTTCTCTTTGTTTGCCTTCAACACTGCCTGGCAAGTTCTTTTGACTGCCAACCAAAGAAAGCTCTAAACAAAACATACTTAGGACTTAATTGCACATTCATTTCTTTTTCACTTATGCTTACGGGCATCCAGCTTTTACTGACCACAGAGGTCATTCACATTCCTTCAAGCATGCAACAGCGGTGTTATAAAGATCATGTCATAACCATAAGCTGACCTTGCAAAACAGTCCTTATTGCCAGAACTGTTTCACTTTGCATTAGTGTCCTGGTTTCAGCTGGGATAGAGTTAATTTTCTTCCTAGTAGCTCAACAAAAATATGTGTTTGCCTTTTTAGTCAATGATCAGGATCATTGTTGCCTCCCTAGGAAGGAAAATAGGTGCTTTGTTGACATGACTATAACTCAGTTCACTTATAGCAGTCAAACTCGGCATGTATTTTCCTTGTTTGCAAGTTGTGAAACACCTCTCTGGACCGTCTCAGGTGAGGAGAGGGGTGGTATGACCTCAGGGGGAGTCATATCCATGTCTAGGAGGAGGAGCTCCCCCGAAACAAAGGGCAACGCCGCAGGTCACACACCCCCCAGTTCCCCATGGAGGGTGAGGACATGGAGGGTTTTGGACCCCAGGCTCCTTGCAGTGATCTTTCAGCAGTTCCACGTGGTGGGGCAGCCTTGGGTGTAGTGTTGGCATGGGGGCCCTGTGTGGAGAAGGGAAATATCTGCTGTAAGTATCAGATGGCAGTGCAAGCCTTTGCCTGGTCCAAAATGTAACCAAAGGGCTAAATTCCCTGTAGCCTGAGCCCAATCTCTCCACCTTCATGAGTTCTCCATCTCCATGCACAGCTCAAGTAGAACTTACATTGGATGCAGCTACTTCTATTCCCTTCCCCTTATTTACCCTATAAATTATTTCCATGTTTGCCTGGGAGGCGTTGTCACCCTTAGGAGGGTCCCTCTGAAGCTCTTGCACATCCCAGCATAGCAATTCTATTTCTGACCAATTAGATCAAGTATTTTCTCCCAAATTGATGCAGAAAATTCTAAGACGCCTATCCAGATCTACCGGCACCTTTGACAACAGTTAGAAAAAGAAACCAATTAAAAAATACAGTAATAACTTCTTTCTCCCAAAGAGAGAAGATGCCGTAACAGCACCTCAGACATAAAGCCACCATCTTGTGACAGCCTTATCTCACCTCCAAACCAAAGTAAGCACGAGTGTTAGGGCTGCGTAAGGTAGGTCACGGCCACCAGACCTAGATTCAGATTAAGTCTGCAAATGAAGTTCAATAATCCTATGGAATATCTCCAAGTGTGGGCAATTATATTCTGAAATAATAACACCAGGTTGTATTTTTAAATATTAACTCCCTGCAGAGACAAGCCCTCAGAGAATTTTATCTTGAGAGGATTTATTCCAAAAAAAAAAAGAGCCTCTATTGCTGAACGTGCCAACAGCGATGCAGCTCAAAATACCTATCAACACTCCTTATTTTAAAATGTTTAGTCATACCCCCAAAACCCATTCCTTTGCTTTTTTGGGTCTTCGAGTGCACGACCACAGAGCTTGCCCCTGCTCCTTGTCCTCTGAGCACTTCACCAGATGCTCCACTGGGAAGATAGATAGAGGAATATATTGGTATCCAACATTTCTAACTGGCCAGCCAGCTGGGTGAGGGCAGGAGAACATCCTGGGAGCCTTTGTGGCTGCTGGTTATAAATTTTGCAGCATTGTTCTGTTCTGGGTCAAAACCTTCAGCCATCCTTGTATGTACATGCCAGCACTCACTCCACCTTTTCTGTGGATGCCATGATTCAATCAGTCAGATATTTCCTAAACACGTAGTTATTTGCGTAGCTCCAATTTATAATTTCCTCAGAAGCCATCCTCAGCTGCTGAATT